AAAATTATCATAAATTAATTAATTCGTTAATGAAATCAAAGAATAAAAAAATATATTCTAAAAGACATTAATACTATGTCGTCAAAAAAAATGAAAAAGAATGAATTTGAATGAATAATCTAACCAAAGGTCATAATAATCTAACTATAGTATATAGTAATTGCATATAATTTTGCATCATAGCAATCAAAGGCAGAAAGTTAACCAATATTATTTAGCGTTTCTAAAATACAATGTATAATATACATTTTAGATTTAACTCGCTTAATGCATTGTATAATCTATGCGACGTACATGAATGTATTCGTGATTACATTGTATTATTTACCGCGCATGCAATATTACACGTGTTATTGTAGGACTGATATGCAATCTATTTGCAAATATTTAAAATACGTTTAAAATGATGAACTGAAAAGTAAAACGTAAGAATACGACACTATGGAACATTTAAAGAAGGTGGCGAGTCGTTGAAATTTCTCTCTTCATTCGTTTTCATTGCCCGACACTTGACCGCGTCGGCATGCTGTACACTCATATTTCTCATACTTACTGGTGACATGTAGACATACTCAATTTTAGTGCGAATATATCTATAAATATAACTACAGGAATAATATCAAGAATACGTACGAACTCATGTTTCTTTTTATATATTCATGGAAAGATCAATATTTCTTCCAAGTTGCGTCTATATTTATAAATCATCGCCTTTCTGATAGTCTGGATCCGTTTCTTCAAAATTGTATTTAACTAATGAAACAAATTCTAAAGAGGTTTTTTTTTATTGTTTTTTATATGTATTTTAAGCTCAAAAATAATTAAGCAAATCCACCAGATATTCCATTGTGTTTTTAAAATTAGTGTGCATTTGTACAAATTAGAGAATTATCATATAATTCTCATATAATTTCAAATCTAAATCATATAATTATCAAATAATTAATTATCATTGGAAAATGTATAAAAATATAATTGACAAATTATATTTTTTCAATAATAATAGCATCATAAATGTAGCTACTATACTAAAAAAATTTATATCAGAATTATATTTAATGAAAAATAGATATGAAAGTAAAAGAGACATTTCAAAATTGCTATTACCGTTTACCGCTTACTAATAATAATACCATAAACCACTTATAATAATAATTTTACTTATAATAATAATTTTACGTGTAACATATAATAAATACTATTAGCATAAATACAGCAATTTAAAATGATTGTAAAACTATTAAAACCATTACAGTTACTGAAAATTCCTATTTCTATAAAACAATTTAATACACACATTTAATTTAAGTAATATTTAAAAAAATTTTCATCGCGATTAGTTCTTTTTAAGTTTTTTTATCTCTTTTGAAAAGCAACATGTATTGTGTGTGTGGAAATTCTATAAATTCCTAAAACTATAAATATACTTTAAAAGATCAACTCTTTTTCACTGGTGAGTGATTCTACTTTTAGATTTGAAATATGTGCAATTGGTCTGAAGATTCTTTTATAATAATAAAAATAATTTGACGAATAAAAGAGATTCTAGGCCATTCCAATTTTTTTTTTATCAAATTATTATAGTTATAAATAATATTCCCTTTATAACATAGTAGTAAAAAAAAACTTAACAATTTTATCAGAAATATTTAATATTTATCAGAAAATATACATAATTGTATCTGAGATAATAGCAGTTTAATACATTTCACTTGCCCTGTACAGATATAAGCGCTACTTTAAATATAATTTAAAAAAAAATCATTGAACTCTTGAACGAATCTAATTAGAAAACCACGAATAAGTATTTCAGTCACTAATATTGATACGATTAAATGTCGTTTCAATTTCGAGGAATTTTTAAAAAAAGATTAATGTGTGTTACATATTGATAATTTTACAAAAAAGAAAACTAGTTGTCTTATAACGAATTCGATTGAAACATTCAGTGCATACTGATACATATTAAAGCCATTGTATAAATTGACATAAAGATGTGTATTTAATATAAATATAGGAATCGGTTAAACTATGAAATCCTCTATACACTATACTGTAAGATAAAATGTGTATTTTATAATTCACAATATTTGCATTGCACTTTTACATTTAGATTAAAACAATGGTTTTACAATAATATGCACTCTCTCTCTCTCTCTCTCTCTCTCTCTCTCTCTCTCTCTCTTCTCTCTTCTTTGTCTCTAATGCGTCCAATCGAATTTTAGCAGTAACTGATTTAATAACACTAGTGTGACACTCAGATAATGAAGAGGGTCTAATTGATAAAGAAAAAAGACTGACAGCGCATTGTAATAAATAAATAATTTTTTACTTTATAAACTTAAAACAAGTTTAATTTTTATTTTTAAGAATTTGTAAAAATTCTTCTTTTCATCTTTTCATATGTAGAGACGAACTCGGAGAACGATGTCAATCCTTTTCTAATAAGTTTAGCTCTCTAATTAGGCCAATCGAACAAATGACTGAATATCATAACTGAATTTAAATTATTATTTACTGTGAATACCATTGTGAGTATAACAATTAATCACAGTGATCTGATAGCGTTAAATTGCATTACCGAGCTGTCGTAGATGCAGATTTGGTCAATGCAAAAGTGAAATTAGTAGGGGAAATATCCGTAGCGATAGAATTTGTGTCCGGCGAGAAACGCTCAATAAAAATAACTTTCGATTCGCGATGCGGTTAAAATTAAACGTCTCAAGGTTTCATTTAAATCATATTCTACGATTTGTCGAAGCGCTGCATTTAGAGTATGCACGTAGGTATCGAGCGATATGTTTTTCTATCAAGGTCGAAAGAAATATCATTAAACGAATCATTTACAAATTATATCGCGAGAGAGAGATTGCGTTGTCGGAAGACTTTGACTTATCAACAAGAGGAATCTGAACGTATGTACGTGTCAAAAAGCCTTCTCTTTCTATGCAAGAATATTTAAAATGAAAGGAGAAATTTTTGATATTATAACGACGAGGATTAAACCGCTCGAGTAAAGTCTAGGATCTGAGCGGATATCGATTATTTTAATGTCTTACAACCCCTACGGCAAGTTTACTTAGTTGTGAATATGCCGCTAACTTTACCTTACTCTGTTAGTCCTTATAAATTTAATAAGATAGAGACATGAAAGCATTCGTCATAATTTTTAATATCTATGAAATAATCGACGCAATTTTAAAAAAATATATAAGTTTATATAAAACAAGCTCGATACTTAAAAATATTATTTCTATTGTCCTTTACTTTTCTTTCAACAATTCTTGAAACAATGGCCTGTTGCTAGTACTTGTAACTCTCTAACTCCTTCTACAGCAGATGATTTATGGAAATCACACGTTTCTCAAACGTTTAACGTAGCAAAGTAAATCAATCCTGACGTTCAATTTCAATCTTGGCATTCAATTTCAAGATTTCATTATTTATTAATTACGTAAAAGTGTATAATAATTTCTTTACAACTTAACACATTGTGCAAATGACATAATTTAAATAAGAAAGGAGATAAATATAATGAATTTTATTCCCCATTTATATTTACAGTATCTATATATAACAATTTAATTATATCTTTTTGCTATGTAAAAGAAAAAAAAGAAAAAAGATCTTATTTATCTCATTTTGATCCTATTCCTCTCATCAAGTCAACTCATCCTACTTTATGGCAACACTTCTAATATTCATAAAATTCTCGAAATTATCTAAAAATCAATCAGGAATCAATCACGTTGAAGACACGTTTTCTTCTCTATCCATTTCTCCAGTCGCGCTCTCATCTCCCTTGTCCTTCTTGTCCTTCACTTTTCTGATCCCTCGGCAGACTTGTCCAACTACCGAGGTTGAAACCAAAACCATATCGAACGACCAAAGCGTCGAGTTCCCTCCCCCGTAGCGTCGGTGCGATGCGTTCCCTGGGCTACATCGCGGGCTCCGCAGTCTTTAGTTTATTCATGTGACGTAATAGGATAAAAACCGTCGCTACGAGCTGAGTGCCTAGATGAGATTACAGCCGTACTGTTACACCCGGTAACGCGAATCCGATGTAATCGCCCCTTCCTTTGATTTTTCTGTTCAGTTCTCCCGATAACA